CTATTTCAATAAGCATACACTTCCTGGATTTCTTTCCTTTTTTAATAATATCAAGTCTGTTGGCTTTTAATTCCATCGTCCATATATGATAACTTTTTTTTTTCCTGAAACGTTAACAAAGCAATTTCTAAGGAATTAATGGAAGTTTTATTTTATTTTATTCTTTTTACTCCGACACCATTTTCTCTTTATATAAAGTTTATATTTTAGGGGATACACTTGTTTGAATAGAAGCCCTGTTCCAGTGAAACAGTGTGAATTACACCTGCCGGTCTGTGCTTTCGTTAATCTTAACAAAGAGAATGTGCTATCCGGTAAAGTTAACACCTGCATACCGCACCCTTTGTTGAGGAAACCATCATCTGATCCGCGGCGTTTTGGCCCGTTCGGTCACAGAGAGCTTCTGTTATACCTGACGTACCTATTCTATTATTAATAGACTCTCCCACACATAATAAGTAGTAGTAGTAGTAGAGGTCGCCAGTTGGGCTCAGTGGTGTTGAGCGAGTCAGACGATATCGGACATTGAAGTACCAACCATCACAACTAGATTGCTGCGTCATTAACTCTTATTTCCAAGTTCCTAACGTTTTGTACGTCGAACCTAATTTAGGACGACTTATTGAAATACAAGCCTCCACTGTGAAAACAACAGCTTCTCAGCCCAACAAGATGAAATTAAACCTTTAAGGAGTGCGCATCGCCTCGTTCATATCTCGAAATATCATATCTGCTTGCATTATGTTCGTATCTGCACCTTAAACAAAGTTTTTTTTTTCTAAGAATCTGCAATGTTATTGGTCCTGATTTGGCGTCCCGGCTTCAATCACCTACCCACCCCACCCGCCGTAATGTAGCTTCCCTGTGCCTTTTTCTATAAATACTTTCATGGTACTTGTTCTGATTAATTTTGCTCTGTGGTACCTAGACGTTATGATTTTAACCGCGATACTAGATTGGCAGTTAGGTCTTATCATTTTACAGTTGTAACGGCAAGATGTAACCGTAGGGTCTATGCTAAGAGTTTCTTTTCTCGCAATACTCGCTTGTAAAAATCTCTTCCGGCTTCTTGCTTTCCAGCCAACTTTGATCTTCAAAAGTTGAAATGCAATGACAATTATTTTCTTTTTTTAGTCTTCTTTCATTGTTCCCCTTAATAATGTTTATATTTTTCTTTCGCACTGAGTAACCTTTTGTGTCTTAGTGGCTTTATTGGGTTGGTTCGGGCGAAATGATTAAAGATATAATTAATGGACTTGCTAGATTCCTCGCCCATCATTTGTTATTACTTCAAACGCTTAAATTTTAGGGGTTACATGTATTTGAGTAGACGTCCTGTGTTTTTCAAACAGTATGAATTAAATCTACCGGCCTATGCACACAAGAAATTACTAAAGAAAATTTACACTTTGGAAAGGTTCCCACCTACTTCTGCCTTTTTTTAGCGGAAATCAATATATATATATATATATATATATATATATATATATATATATATATATATATAATATTTTTTTTTAAAATATGATTCCTTCGCTACATAAGAGTTATCATGTTTCAAAACGAGAGCCAAAACCATCCAAATAATTATTAAAATTAAGTTGAATTAAGGTGTTTAGTCCCGTTTCATCTTCAAGCGAAATTTTAGGAATAAGTTATCTCTTGGTTTACGTGTGTTTTTAGGCATGGTCCGTTATGACATTCGTTATTGTGGGAGTGGCTAGGCAAGTCACCTTCGTTAAGTGGTCAGAGAGTTAATTCTTATCTATAGATTCATCATCTTCTGAGAGGTTTTGCTAAGATTAGGTAGGGTATCTATTTCAAGGCTAATGTCGGTGGTCATCCTTTAGTTGGTTCCCAGTGAGGGATATTTTTGGTAAGCTTTGTATCCTGTGAAGCCTGGTCCAAACTATGGTCCTTAAGTCCTATAGGAGAAATATTATGTAAATGTTAGCACTTTTCTAAGTATATGGGAGGCTCCTAGTAGGGCGATCTATTGGGCAACTTGTATGTTGATGTTACCTGGGCACTATTCGTAAAATTCTCCATTCCTTTTCTCACGAGGTCCAGTGCTATTGGTACAATCTTAGACTTCCTTCTCCACATCTTGTTAATCTCAATTTCTAGGATTTAGTATTTTTACAATTTCTCGATAATTTTCATGGGGGTGTTCTTCTCAGATGGTACTTCTATTTCAATACGTATACACTTCCTGAATTTCTTGTCTTTTTTTATAATATCAAGTCTGTTGGCTTTTATTTCCTAGTCAGTTTGAATTGGCTTGTCTCAGAGGACAGTTGTATCGTTATTTTGCGTAACTGTATCTAGTTGGTGATCTTATCAACTCTAAGTGGTAGTATTATTATTATTATTATTATTATTATTATTATTATTATTTTAAAATATAAATATGGAAACTGGTGTCAACACCATATACGTTACATGCTTAAACGCAATCGTAAACGCAAAAGATTGCATTTAAGTATAAAACAGACTGTCGGTTATTAGTGTTTAACTCAGTGTCAACTTTTATATTTATATTTACGTACGCTCTGTCCCTGATATTGAGCACTTTCACCCATAAATATACCATACATAAATGTAATATATTTTATCATATATATATATATATATATATATATATAATATATATATAAGAAACGATATATATTTCTATATATCACGAATAGTATTGAGGAAATATTCTAAGACGAAATGGAAAAGTTTATTGCTGACGTGTTTCATCCGTTAGGACTTAATCGAATGAAAACCGTTACAAATAAACTTCTTCCATTTTGTCTTATATATATATATATATATGATGAAATATAGTCTTAAGATGTGCTATATTTCTGGGATAAAGTGTTCAATATCAGAGATAGAGCGTGTGTAAATATAAAAGTGAACATAGAAGTCAACACCTAGAGGCGACAGGCCTGACGATTGCATATAGCATGAAATATATATATGCACAGACCGGCAGATGTAATTCACACTGTTTCACTGTCGCCTCTAAGTGTTGACTTCTATGTTCACTTTTATATTTTATATATATATATATATATATATATATATGTTTATATGTGTATGTATGTATATTTTTATCATTTCACACCAACATGGGAAAGGGAATATTTTAGTGGAGATAAAGGGAAATAAAAGAACATGCTTCTGAAAGACCGAACATGGCGATTGCATTAAAATTGTTGAAGTGCGTAGGTGTCAGGGAAGCAAGTAACCGGAAGTGAGTTCTACAGGCGAGAAAAGAGACTATTCAAATATAACTTACGGTTACATCTAGGTATTTCAATAGTAAAACAATGAGACCTAATTGCAAATCTAGTAGAACGTTCATATTTACATCGTCGAGGCACAGAAGAGGAGAGTGCATTGGAACAATTGCCATGAAAATATTCATTAAATGACAGAAGGAAGATACGTTTATATTGAGAGAGAGGGGGAGGGGAGATTTAAAGCCCCTGAGATAAGCAAACATATTTGCTGTGTGTAATTGCTTTCCGAAGACCCCGATAATCTAAAGCATGTTAATCCGACTTACGCTGTTTTTCTCATTAGTTTTACATAATCTGTATAAGAGCCATTTGTTAGAAAATATGTAAATTTTGCTTACGTCAACCTATTTCGACATTATTCTGTTTACGTGCGTTCAGTGAGTGAGTGTTGTATATACTGACGCATATCTGACTCGTAAGTGAGACTTAGCATCAGGGTGGGGGGGTTTCAGAGTGTTGGATGGATTTAGAAATGAAAGCAAAAATCGTTCTTAAAGTCTGAAAGAAATTTCAGAAATATTTGCTTGTGGAATTGTTTTCATTGTTTGGTCTCCTGAGACAAAAGAAACACATTCTTCACTTAGTTTTAAGTTTGAGTTTTTTTTTGGGGGGGGTACGTCTTGTCACTTTCTTTTTTCACATCGATTTCGTCATTTATTTTTTTTTTCCACTTCCTTAGTTTTTTTCTTTCTTCTCATTACTCCGAATTCTTTCCTTCTTTCTTTATTACAATTACTATGTATACTTTCTTCGTTTCTTTTCCCGTCTTTCTTTTTTTTTTTTTGTCTTTTTGTTTCTTTCTTTCCTCTAATTACTACGTATATTTGTTTCTTTCTTTCCTTTCTTTCTTTCGTTTGTTCTTTCTTTCTTTCCTTTCTTTCTTTCGTTCCTTCTTTCTTTCTTTCTTTCTTTTTATCACTCTGAACTTTCTTTTTTTTTTTTTTTCTTTCTTTCTTTCTTTCTTTCTTTCTTTCTTTCTTTTCTTTCCCCTGAGCTTGCTTGCTTTCTTTCTTTTTATCACACTGAACTTCGTTCTTTCTTTCTTTCTTTCTTTCTTTCTTTCTTTTTATCACTCTGAACTTTCTTTCTTTCTTTCTTTCTTTTACCCTGAGCTTACTTGCTTTCTTCATTTCTTTTTATCACCCTGAACTTTCTTTCTTTCTTTCTTTCTTTCTTTCTTTCTTTCTTTTTCACCTAGGCTTCCTTGCTTTCTTTCTTTTTTATCACACTGAACTTCTTTCTTTCTTTCTTTCTTTCTTTCTTTCCTTTCTTTCTTTCGTTCCTTCTTTTTTTCTTTGTTTCTTTCTTTCTTTCTTTCACCCTGAGCTTCCTTGCTTTCTTTCTTTTTATCACACTGAACTTCTTTCTTTCTTTCTTTCTTTCCTTTCTTTCTTTCGTTCCTTCTTTTTTTCTTTGTTTCTTTCTTTCCTTTCTTTCTTTCTTTCTTTCTTTCACCCTGAGCTTGCTTTCTTGCTTTTTATCACTCTGAACTTTCTTTCTTTCTTTCTTTCTTTCTTTCTTTCTTTCTTTCTTTCTTTCTTTCTTTCTTTTACCCTGAGCTTACTTGCTTTCTTTATTTCTTTTTATCACCCTGAACTAACTTTTCTTTCTTTCTTTCTTTCTTTTCACCCTGAGCTTGCTTGCTTTCTTTCTTTTTATCACACCGAACTTCTTTCTTTCTTTCTTTCGTTTTTCTTTTTAATATAATCGCTTTTCTTCTTCCTTCATTTCTTTTCTTTCTTCTTTTTTCTTCTATTCTCCTTCATTTTTTTTTCATTGTCTCAGAAATTTCAACTGTATCCTTTTGATTTTAAATACGTTTGTCCTTTTTGTTCACATTTTCATTAAAACTTCCTCGTTAATCACATTCTCCGTCCATGTTATTCTCAGCATCCTAGCGTAGAACCACTTCTCTGTATGTGTTTCAAGTTTTCTCTTCATCTGAATTTCCATGGCTGAACTGATACCACACAGAACTTCAACACTCTTTTCTTTCTTTCTATTTTCTTTTCTTTCCTTTCTATTCTAGGGCGCACAGTGACGATCGGTATTATTGAACAATAATTAACTCTTTAGTTCCGAAAACCATTACAACTGCATTGATATCGACCTTCACTGTGTGCCCTAAAACATACGACCTTTGGAAGGCTTTTTTTAAATGATAACGGTAACATTCCTTATAAAGAAACCTTCAACATTCATTGCAGCCAGTCCTAATCAATGTGAGGTGTACTTCCCCCTCTAGCTATCGTACTGGGATCAAACTGTAGTATCTGTTCTTCTCACCTCCAGTGGTTTTGGTAATATTAGCCGTTTCCTTATAAAGAAACATTCGGCATTTATTGACCGAGCAGACAGTGCTACTAGAGTTAGGCATTTTCACTCCTTGTCTATCGGGTAGGGATCAAACTGAAGTATCTGTTCTCATCATCTCTAATGGTAATGGTGATATTAGCCGTTTCCTTATGAGGAAACATTCGTTATTCATTGATCAAGCAGTCAGTACTACGCCAGTTTTGCTTCACGTCCTGGCTATCGAACTGCAATCAGACTATAGTATTTGTTCTTCTAATCTCTAATTGTAATGGTAGTATTAGCCATTTCCTTATAAGGAAAGTTTCGGCAGACATTGACCGAGCCACTAGTGTTACTTGAGGTACTATTTTTCAATTCTTTGCCCATTGGGAAGAGAAGAAATTGTAGTATCTGTTCTCCTAATCTCTCTTGATAATGGTAATTTTAATTGATTTCTTATGAGGAAAAATCCTGATTCATTGACCAGGCAGCCAGGACTACGTGAGTTAAATTGTATTTCACCCCGCCCCGGCCTGGCTATCGGGATGGTATCAAATTTTGGTATCTCTTCTTCTCACCTCCAATGGTTTCTTTATAAGGAAACGTTCGGCATTCATTGACCGAGCAGCCAGTGCTACCCGAGTTACACTTTTCTTCACTCCTTGACCATCGGGCTGGGATAAAAAATTATAAAAAAAATTGAAAATTTATAAGAAAACATTCGGTATTCGTTGACAGAAGAACCAGTGATATTCGAGTTACGCTTTTCTTCGCTTCGTGGCCTGGGATCAAAATGTAGTACCTGTTCCCATCATCTCTAATGGCAAAGGTGTTGGTAATATTATAAGGAAATATTCTCTCTTCATAGACTGAGCAACCAAAGCTGCTGTCGTTTGAAATTTATAAAATGTTTTGTCTTGAAACAAATTCTCAGGAAAATAGTCTTCTCAAGTTCTATAGCTGCTATCACTCTTTCCAGTACTGATGGGGTTTCCTTCCTAACCTTTTGTTTAATGTAGTGTGGAATATCAGTATTTCGTTTATATCATTATTCTCTCGACGTGATATCCACTTTATTTTTTGCCGCTGTTGAAAGTCCTCAAGTGATGTGGTTTCCATTACTTGGTACTGTTCTTTTTCAGTGATTCTGTAGCGCAAGTCCAAAGAAGGTTTGTCTGAAAGGATTATCCACCTGGAAGCCTACTTTAATTTTTTTTTAATTCTCTCTTCGAGTTATATTTTAGTTGCTACTGCCGTTGAAAGAGATGTGGCTTCTCTTAATTGATACATTTGTTTGTGCGTGATTCGGTAGCGCCAGTCTACGCAGTTCGAGAAATGATTATCCTCGCGAGGACCTACACGCTTCACTCCCTCGAAGCAATCTTGAACCATCAATCCTAGAAAGTGGTCGTCTACAGCTGACAGGTTAGACATTTCTGAACGAGTCTGGCACCATGCATATGAAAATCTCGATATGACAAGGGTATTTAAGAATGCGACTCGAGTTCTTAGGCTTATTTACAGCACTTTTGTTGGAGGGAAACTACACCTAGCGCAGCCTATTCTACGTTCAGTTTCTTTATCTCCTATAGTTAATTTGTTATAACTGGTCCAGACACCGACGTATTTGAAGTGTTTAGTAAATATTTACTAATTCCACATAGCTAGCAGTTAAAGCGAAAGAAAGGGATAAGGAGGAGGGACGTGGAAAAAAGAGAAGGAGTGAGGAGGAGATAAGGGGGAAAAGGAAGAATGATGGAAGGAAAGAAAGAAAGATTTAAACGCATATATACTGTTTTTTTTTTTGCGGGGGGGGTATCCTTACTTGTAAACCGTGTTTAATCAACAATAGCATATCAGTTCTTTTTCGGGTACCCAGCAGTTTAGGGTCTCATGTTCACCGAATGTGAAATTGGACAGGCGCAATGACAGATCTAAGTAGTATTTTTTATGGCGGGAAATGAAGCTACGGACACGTGCATCGAGTTAGTCTTTCATGACGCGTGATTAATGAAAACGTCACACCCAAAACTAACTGATCCCCCATAAAAAAAAAGTAACATACAAAAATACCAAAAAACTCGGAGAGCATTCTTTCACTGAACCAAAATTGTTATTGAATTTGTAAACTGTGAGTAAAAGTTGTCACGACGCAGAATCATTTTCATGAGCGACAAACGGATTTCTGAATAATTTTATTCATATGGTTATTTTTTTTTTTTTTGTTCTGCTAGACAAAATAATTATTGTAGCTCAATCGGTAGAGCAGCTGCTATGTTTAACAAGACTGGTCGAGAAATAGGAATTCATTTCCGATCCGTTCTGTCTATTAGCGGCCATTGATTGTAAATGAAATTAAAATTAAAGCAGAGAAATACTCGTCAAAAACTGCAAGAGAAGAAAAATAATATTAAACAAAAAGAATTTTAAAAAAGTTTTTAAAAATTTAATAAATTTTAAGAATGAAAAAAACGAAAGAAATTTATAAAAATTAGGTTTTAAAATTAACGAACTTAAAATAAAAGAAATTAAACAAATAAAGATAATTTAAAAAATAGAAAAAAAAAATTAAAAATGAAAGATATTTAAAAAAAAACACGGAAATTTAAAAAATTAAAAATATTTAAAAAAAAAATAAAGAAATTTAAAAAAAATAATTTTTTTTTTCTGAATTAAACAAATTAAGGAAATTTAAAAATTAAGGATTTTGCAAAAAATTAATCAAATTAAAGATGGCTACCTAATAATTTGTAGCTTCTCGTTTCGAAAGAATAATGGCGGCTCGCAGATGCATGACGGACTCTATAAGCTGCTGGATTGGTTGTGGAATGTTTATATCCACACACGTCCCAGACCTGACCATAGTTGTTTTTTGCGGGTTCACTATTTACCCATAGTGTGAGGGAGGATCTGGGAACAAAATCAGTTAAAAGGTGTTTTCACGCTGCTCAGAACCTCCAGTCTCCCCATTAGGAGCCTTGCTGTCGGATGGAGTTTATCGTCATACCCAGGACCTTTGTGTTTATAAAATTAACTGTGGAGCAAAGACCTGTAAATATTTTTTTTTTTATATCTTTTTCCACTCTTATAAGAATTTCATTCAAAAAGTCTATGGAAAAATATGAGAAATATTTATTTAAAAATATGCGAGTAATTTTATATTTGTTTGTAGCCGTGCAATCTAGAAATTACCTGTTAAAACTTATATGAATCGGACGCGTTTTGAATACATTGAAGTTTACCACAGATTAAAAAAGATCCCTTAATAATGTTTAATCTTCATATCCGCAGAAAACGCCGTCTAAAACGGATGGCTATTCCTTTGGCATCACTATTACACCGTTTTTCGACTCCACGGAAATATTTATTTACAAATTTCTAAAACTATGCGAACCAAATAGAATAAGATATTTATTATTTATCTTTTATAGAGAAATACATTTGAAAAAAAAATTTTTTTATGCAAACTACAGGATGGTCCGAAAGTATTGTCACCCCTACCGAAAAAAAATGCTTACAATAAAAGAAAAAAGTAATACGGTAATACAAATACTGGATTCAATTTATTCACTTTCATTGACGCTGTCACAGATCGAGAAGGTCTGTATGAACAGCATCATTTTCGTGTCAGCCATCTGAAATAGAAAATTATATTATGTAGGGTGACAAAATATTCGGACCATCCTCTGGATTTATAGATGAAATTACAAAACATTCTTATCAGTAATCAAATGAAAAGATAAAAAGTGAGGGATCAGTTTTGGATTGTTCTTTAGTATTAAACACATCCCCCATTTCTTGACCATGGTACAGGGTGGTCCGAAGGTCTTGTTACCCCTTACCAAAAAGTAATGTGAACAATTGAAGAACAATACAAAGCACATGTATTGGATTCAGTTTATTCATTTTCATTGACGCTGTCATACATCGAGAAGGTCTATATGAACATCATCATTTTCGTGTCAGCATATGTGAAACAGAAAATTTATATTATGGAGGGGTGACACGACTTTCGGACCACCCTGTGGATTCAGAGATCAAATTACAAAACAACCGTATAGATAATCAAATTAATGGATAATAAAAATGAGGGATCAGTTTTGTACTGTTCTTTAGTATTAAACACATTTCTTGGCCATGGTACATAATGGTCCGAAAGTCTTGTCACCCGCCACCAGAAAATAATGAGAACAATAGAAGATCAAGAAATACAGAGATACAAATCACATGGACTGGATTCAGTTTATTCACTTTCATTGACGCTGTCACACATCGAGAAGTTCTGTATGAACATCAAAGAGATCTTCTCGATGTGTGACAACAATCAATGAAAAATTCAACCATCTGAAATAGAAAATTATATTTTGTAGGGGTGAGAAAAAACTGTAGACTCATAGATGAAATTACAAAAC